GATGTCGCGATCAAGCAAGGATAGATCCTTCACGTAGTTGCCCTCGTATTGGACGCAGTGCTCGCGATAGAGACGGTAGCGAATAACGCCTTCCGGGTCCAGCTTATTAAGCAGTGGATCGGCGTACACGCTGAGGCTGGCCGTATACACGACGATCTCGTAGTACTTGGCCATTTCGATGAGAAACTCCTCAGCACCGGGTCGCTTGCACACGTAAACGTGGTGAATGATTCCATTAATGTCGACAGGAATGATGAAGTCATAGTTGTCTGTGCGTCTGAACGAAGAGTGAACCAGGGTTTCATCCAAATCCAGCACCAGGCATTTTTTGTCAGCATCATTGGGAGATACAGGAGGCAAGAGGCTTGGGCGCAGTTCAATCGTTTTGCTTCTAACCTCTGCAGTCTTAGGATTGGATCCGCCTTGCTTGGCCTTTTCAAGATCTTCCTGCTGTTGCTCGTGGAGACCTAATGCTGACCAGATATTTCCGAAGATGTTACGGAGGCTACCTCGCTGCTGGGTCTTCTTCCCAATCGATCCTTCGCGGGATACGCGGCGAACACCAGTGAGAATCGGCTGCTGCTTGCCATTTCTGTCGGCTTGGTGGACGACACTTGCCAACAGGTTTGCAATATGCAAATCGGTGAGCTGCGCTTTGATGGGTAGTGCCATCATTTAACTGGCGAAAGTTGATTTTGTAGTTGGGGGAGGGAGGGGGCTGCTCGGGCTCTTGAACTGAATCCGCGGCCTGATAATTTTGCTGTCGTTTTTTTTTGTTCTGTCTGGCGGCGCGGAGTGTTGCCTTTTAGTAGTGCACTTAAAGCAAGTTTTCGAGTGAATATTGAGTATGATCTCCATTTGACAAAGAACCTTATCGCCCTCGAATCTCGTCCGTTCTGGCCTCGAGCTGTTGGAAGCCCGTTTCTCCTTCACACCTTAAATCACCTGCTTTATCTAGCCTGATGGCGTTGTATTTATTTTTATCTATCCACACTTCTCAACTGTGTACTTACGGCGAGGCAGACAGACCTTTCGTTTCAGCTCATCCGTTTCATGTCGGATGACTAACGGTGGAAGTTCTCCTCCAAAGTTCTTGACGATTCATACATCTGGCACCGATTTCATCACTCCAAATAGAATTGCTTAATTTGTTCGTGGCAAAAATGATGCTAAATATATGGGATTGGTAAGACTGTGCTGAGTGACGAGGAGCAGTTTGTCAGCCTTGTGTTCACACAACGTTGGTGGAGCAGCCTTTCGAGAGAAAACACGGGGTGATAAAAATGTGTATCGATTTGTAGAATTGCTTAAGCTTTACCTGCCCATGTCTCCTTAACTGTCGATGCTGTATCATTTCCAACAAATCACGAGCGTCCATAGATGTAGAGCAATTTTTTTTTCAGATACAGCTTCAGTTATAGGATATACTGCATAGTTTCATCCAAAAGGATATGGACTTCTATAGTACAGTTATTTTTTGTTGTAAAAGTTATTTTGCTTCAGCGTATTAATTTTGTTGTTTTTTGGAGCGGCCTAAGATGAACCATGCTTGCATGGTAAGGTTCATTTAAGTTAATTAACTGACGAGGACATTTCCGATTTTGTGTTCCGTTAGATCAAATTAAACGACGAGAGAAGAAATAATTCCGAGATTCTGTTGGTACCTACAGCATACTATTCCCCAACGTCGAAACTTTAGTGAAAACTCCAGCCCGATCAATCTTCGTCGCTTACAGTACCGAACTTAAGCTTCTACCGCGATGTGCCACAGCTTCTATTTAGCCTCAAGAGTTTGGCATTGAGCTCATATCACTGCCGTACATGTCCAGGCTCGCTGGCAAAAACCTTCATGAATTTGTCCACAGGACACGAAACGGATGGACTGAAACGTAGCCCCGACTTTGTGTAATTGCACAGATTGAGAAGCAATGACCGGTAAAAATAAGCACAACGTCAGCAAGCAGGTGAATCGAAGGATGAAGAAGGAACGGGTTGCCTTACAGCTTAAGTCCAGCGCGGACGAGATTCGAGGGCGATAAGGTTCTGTTTGTCAAGTGCGAGGCCATGAACGATATCCATTCGAAAATTTGCTTTCAACGCACCACACTACAAAGCAACACTCCACTCCACTAAACAACAACAACACTCCAGGTCATAACTCCAATTTCAAGACCCCTTCCGGACTGGACTCCAAGCGTATCTGGACGCAGCGCCTTTCACAACTACTCTAACAGCAACAATGATGACGATGCCGACCACCCGATCGAGGACGCAGTCGAACCTGAACGCGAGTCTGAAGCCAGAAGGGGCCACCCGTGTTAAGCAGTTGGTCATGAATGAAGTGCTGTCGGGCCGAAGTTCAAGCTGCAGCACGATGACACACGATGGTGTTACCCCACCAATACCGGCGCCACCGACGAAGCAGCTCGCAGATCTCAATCTCGCCAACCCTTTGGCAAGCATCGTCCACCGAGCTGACAGAAATGGCAAGCAGCAGCCAATCCTCACTGGTGCTCGGCGTATGTCCCTTGGAGGAGCAAATTTGAAGAAGCCACTAGGAGGAGCGAGCGTGAAGCAACAGCGAAAGAGCTTCGGCAACATCTTCGTGAACATTTGGTCGGCAATTGGTCATCACGAGCAGCAGCAACAGGAAGTTGTGGAGAAGCCAAAGCCAGTCGTGCCATCCG